GCCCGTGCGAAGATGCGTTTTTTGCATAGTTTCCCGCAGTTTTTGTCACTACCGGCATCGGTTTTTCCGGCAAATGCTTCTGGCTGAACAGATTAAGACTGGCCGCCAGAACTGGCAGGAAACGGCTCCTTAAAGTTTCAGTTTTTTAGCTTTCCTGGGTCCTGAATTATCACCTACTTGGACGGGGGAACATTCCGCTAAGATTTCAGCGTTCTAGCTTCTCGGATCCCCGACCTAAGAACTTACCCGAAAAAAGTTTTGGCGGGCCTGTGCGCGGGTACCACGCTTGTCCGGGGATGAGTTTCAGTGCATTAACACCTAATTGGAGGGGGAACATCCCCTTAATGTTTCAGCGTTCTAGCTTCTCAGATCTCCGAGTTGTGAACTTACCCCGAAAAAATTTTGGAGGGCCCGTGCGCAGGTACCACGCGGATGATGGCGCCATTTCTGGGATTGGGGCCGGCACGTGCGTGTAGATTAATTTCCCGAAATTTCAGCCGTGCATTTTTTATAGATCTTGAGATGAAAATGCGTGACAGACGCACACACAGACACATAGACAGCCCCTCGTCAATACGCGTTTTCGCATTGCATAGCTGCAAAAAACGCAAAAAAGTTATTTGTTTGCCTTTGTTGTTTTTCTTTTTGCTCGAATGGTGGATATCTGATGAAGATCAAAATGACACGATACATTTATCAAACATACAAATTCTTGTAGTAGGCTGAAGGGTCAAGAAAATATTAGTGAATGGTTAAAGAGAGCGATTTATTTATCACGATTGCATGATTTCTAAATCATACAAATTTAGGGATGAGTCGGCACCAAGAAAAATCGAGGATGCGAATGCTGTAATGCCAGATGATTGGTTGGAAGATGAGGAATCACTGATTCCTGACCCTGAAGCAAAAAAGCCCGATGACTGGGATGATAGCATGGATGGTGAATGGGAAGCGCCAAAAATCGACAATCCAAAGTGCAAGGACAGAAGTGGTTGCGGCCCGTGGAGTAAACCGTTGATTGATAATCCCAATTACAAGGTGAATATTCTCCGCTCGTCAGGCAAAGTTCGTCTTGACTCGCCACAGTCATCAAACATTCTGTGGCTTCGCTGCATAATTGCTGCTCTTGGGCAACCGCTGTTGATAAGGAGATGTTTAGTTACCTGCAGTTAATACTGTGGTACTCCTGCTATTTAGCTGATTTTCCCAGTTCCTTTGATTTTGGTGCAGTACCTAATGGCCAGCCAGCCTTTTGTGATTCTTACGTCAATTTCTTCTCTTGAAGGTGTCATGAAATCAGTGGTTCGCCCAACATAAGCGTTTGACAAAGTTTTAGCGTTTCCGAGGCGCTTTGTATAGCATTACTGTCTTGTTCTGGATAATATCAGAACTAGATCACAATGAGGTATTTTTCCGGTAAGAGTCACTGAAAATGTTGAACTTGTATAAAGGAACTGAACTTGAAAGTTGTTTTGTCCAGGGAAAATGGAAGCCGCCACGTATTGCGAATCCAAATTACAAAGGCAAATGGAAGCCACGGCAGGTGGAAAATCCGAATTACTTTGAGCCACATCCTTTTTCCCAGCTGCAGACAATCACAGCGCTTGGCA